AATGATGACCAAGACGACATCGAGGATGAGGACCAGCTCACTGGCATCGTGCTTTCTGGCCTTGAACCACATAATGTGAACGCCGAGCAGGCGGAATATGGTAGTCTTGACGATGATGTGTGTGTTTGTCGTGATGACTCATTAGAGGACATAGTACAGGAAGTAATGCCAGCACAGTGCAGCAGTGAGAGTGAAGATGACGATGAAGAAAGGGATGACTTGCTACCAACTGTCACAGCCATAGCTTTGAGCACATCGCTCAGCTCCGGAAGTTTCTGTCTGCAAAGGAAGAGTCCCGTAAAGAGCTACTTGCGTTGGCTGGTATTGAAAATTTTATTTTGGGATCGTATGTGCTGACAAAACAGTCCACAATCGACAAATTTTTTGCCGGATGAATAAACTCAATGTCACAGCTCTTTCACGAATGTGTTATGCCTGTACTTGCTTATAATTAGGCCTATGTAGAGGAAACTGGCAAAAATCTGCTTTGTATGAGTAGCTATCCATGTAATGAATCATAATGCTGTCTAGTATCATATTTAGATGAATTTCTGATAATTCAAACTAAAATCTGTGACTTCCTGGAGTTTGAATTAATGAGACTCTACTGTAGTTTGCTGTACGGCATTTCGCATTCAGCGAGTCATTTTGCCACTGTACACAGACGAAAGCATAAAAGCGTTCAGACAAGTTACGCATTCACGGCTGCACTATGCTGGCAACTGTAGGGCCGGTCGTTAGACTTTGCCCTTGGTGAAAGAGTCCTGTTTGTAACACTGTGCCGCTGGAGCAAATGCACAGATTGATTGCTACTTCCTTGGCGATACAACCGCTGCCTTCTCACGTCGACACATGGGAAATACCGCAAACAAAAGCAGACACCGTCACGACTTGGCAAGGTGAAACCGGAGAGGTCAAGAGCGGAAGAATTGCTTGAGTGTTGACGTGCTATGTGGCATCAACAGCTGAGGCCTGCCATTAAAAAAAAACAAAAAAACTAGTTTGCAGTTTCTTTGCTGGACGTGACGTCACGACAACTGACGGCAGCGATTGGCTGGCAGTGACGTAGATTCTTTTGGGGGGAATTTGCCACTGAATTCATAACCTGACATCAAATGTAGTTTCTAAACATGGCAGATATAATCAGGCCAGTTTCCGTCCACAATGCTGCCGCCTAGTCTGTCGCACAGATTATTTCCGTTGCTAAGAGGCAATTGGGGCTTTATGTAAACATAGGCTGGACATGCGTGTAGAAAAAATAACATGAATGACCGACCACATCATTGACTCTTCCAACATATTGCAAAAAAACAAAACAAAAAAACCGACAAGTCAACATTTTTTTTGTTTTTTCTTAATTTTTTAGTGGCTGTCGTGTAACATGGAAGTATAAGTACCAAGTAAAATAAAACTAAAGAAAAAGTACATAACGTAAGGTGTACATGAACTCTATAGATATAATACCAGTCCCAATGGTTTAGCAAAAAAGCCAGTCTTCTCAGAAAAACCCCTCTCTCACTTGAGTCTGTTTTCTAATATTTGAATCTTAAAAAGAAGTTGCCCCGAAAAAACGGCAGAAAATACACAAAACAAAGTGACAGTGCCTAAAAAGGTCACACCTGCCTTTTCACATGGCTCTCGGAACTACATGCAGTGCAGGATGCAGAACGGTACCCATGGGCTAGCTGCAGATGTAACCCAGTGCTTGTAGTGTATCGCAGCTGCTTGGAAGGGAGAGAGGCCACCTCCTTCATGCCGTGGTACCGGGAAAAGCAATACCAATAAACTGCAGGCGTCGAGCACCTTGTATTTCTGTGCATCCAGAAAGCATTTCTGGGACAGCAACGACAGAAAACTTCAGTAACACAGTGAACAAAAAAGAAACCAAAAGAGTAGGCATGCAGGCGAGTGTGAATTGTAGACACAGCTAAAACTCAAGGCACAAGGAAGCAGAAAGAGGGCACATGAAGAGGCCTTTCGACTTCCTTGCATGTCGGGTTTGAGTCTCGTACCGGGTAGTAAGAAGCAACAATACTGGTTCCCTAGCCTTTCCTGTCTCAAGAAGCCTTGGAACAAAGATATCCTACTCGTCATTCATCTCGTTTTCCCTTCTCGGGCGGATTAAAGTGCACGTTGCGGCAGTAAACTGCCTCAAAGGGGCTCAACTCACACTTCTAAGAGAATGATTGGCGAGCAACTTCTCCATTGTGTACTACGTGCACTCCATGTTTTAAAGGGGTACTCCAGCATTTTCTTCATTGTCCCCGATTTGCCTAAAAACTTGCTAAACACATCAACAAACATCGCTGAAATAGTAACCGAAATAGCTTTTTTTCGCAAAGTTACAGAATTTACAATTTTGGTCATCATTGTGCTTTTCAAAGTGAAAAGCTCTACTGGCAACATTGAAATTGAGACGTCATGCGAAGGCAAAGGTTCACTCTTATGGCTGTAGACTTTGTTCACAACTGATCACAAACAGTTTCATGGTGTCAAAAGAATGCTTTGGAAGGTCGCCCCAAATCCCACCCAGCAGCACGAAACAAATGCTGGGCATAGTTCCTTTCTACACAGCCGCTCGAACCGTGAGACTGTCCCATCCCGTGACGCAAGCACGTAACTAGAGGGGGTTCATGAAGCCCGGCCCGACCCGCCCCGCCGCTGCCGCCCCCAAAACAAAATTCTGACTATGTGCCTGCTTGACGTCACGGCAATGAAACGCACAAGTATATTTCAATCTTGGATTGGCATCATACACGACAGTGGTAGGAACATTACTTGTGTCGAGCTAGAGAAGCCATATTGGGAGCTACCCCAGCTACGTCCACACTGGATTTCATGGCAGTTATGTGCGATGCAGACAGCTTTCACTATTTCAACCGAGTGCCTAGGCAAACACAAAAGCAGCCACATAAGACAATCAGGAAAAGACGCCGAGTTGTACAGGCTAAGGAGGAAGGACATAGTGCAGCGAGCTATCTAGTCCAGGCTATTCCTCTGAGAAATGCTGTCAGTGGAAATGTAGGTCAGTTATTCCCGACATTAATTTAGGTAACTAATGCAAGCATTACACTATTTTGCATCTTTCTCTACTGCAACGCTAGTCATCCGCAGCAGAAACAACGCCCCAAACTAAAAAGAAGTCTCGTTGCATTGTTAACACAGACATCAAGTCCATAAGCGACCTGGAGTTCATCAAAGCACAACCGAGACTCTCTCGGAAGTGCTTGGTTCCTTTTCAGTAGTTATTGAATGAAAACACAGTGCAGTGGTGATTACCATCAGCACAGCCTTGCCACTGGCACTGCTGTCCCTCGGGTGGCACATGCACGACATGGCCTGCAAGCCACATATATCCCTAAAAGAAAGCTGCATAGGATGCACTTACCGTGGCTAGCGTCGCCACCCAGCGAGCTTGCACAAACCCTCTGCACGGCACGCAGTGCTGTTCAGAACAGAGCGGCACTGGCTAGCCAGTTAATGCGAAGGCTTGTAGTGTTTTGCTGCTGCCTTGGCAAAGCTGCAAGTCACCTCTTTCACGCCTTGTGGTGCCCATCAGCTTCAAAAGAAACGGTGTTGAATCGCAACCAGCTATAACCTGTCGCACAAGGGAGAAAAGGGTGTGAATGTGCAGACTCCTATCTGTTTGCTTTTGTCTAGCGCCTGAATTTTGTTTGAGAAGAAAACAACAATGACACTTCTTTCACAGTAATATGCAAAACAAAAACGAGAACGGCTCGGTTATTAATAAGTTGTGTGCAGCAGAGGCACGGGTGCGAGTGCGTAGCTCCGCAGAATGTTCTTTTTGCACGTCTGCTCGTGCAAAAAGGGCGCTTCTGTGCTCGGGCCTGTGCCTTTTCTGCACACAGCCTATGTTACAGAGTGTATAGCACGCCTTCGAGAGCACTCGCGTGCGGCGAGAAATCCATAATATACAGGGTACGACCGCAGGAAACCTCGCAGGGGTGCAGGAAGCTGCAAGTGCACGGTGCACCAGAATGTGAAACTAGACATCTTGACTTAAACAGCGCAAATAAGTAGCGTAAGGAAGAGACAACAGGAAGGAAAGAGCGCTGTTGTCTCTTCCTTACGCTACTTATTTGCGCTGTTTAAGTCAAGATGTCTATCCAACTCGCCCAGCAACTCATTTTGGTGAAACTAGAGGTGGTGATAGAATTTCACAGTTTGAGAATATGACGTTACTTGGGTCAAAATATAGAAACGAAAAACGTAACTGCCTTACCGGCTGATGATAAGGGCCATCGGAGTACGACCAACTATTGGTTGTGATGGGGGCATTCGATTGGACGCGGGTTGGTAAAGATTTGAAAAACACGAAAGAATAAAACATGCAGGGACGAAGACAGACAGCGCAGTTCTTTGTTGACATGAAATGTAAGATCAAGCACATTATTCTGTCGGATCAAATGGTTTTGTTGAATTAGGTTTAGCTCGCAAGTCAGCCGTTCTTCGGCGGGCTTTCAGCTTTCTGCGATGGTTGTTTTAATCGTGAACGCAGGCTCAAACAATGTAGGCAACGGCGCCAAATAGATCTGAAACGAAGAAAGAGCTCGGACGCGTGGAACGAACACACATAGAGATCACATACAGGAAAACTCAAACCACTCACTTTTCGTTCGACGACGGTTCGTCAGGCACGATGTTTCCGATGTTTCTCCGGTTTCTCCGGGCGTTGAGGAGACCGCGTCTGTTTCCGTGCTCCTATTGGTCGTGACGTCACCAAATTTCATCCAATAAAGTGCGCGCCGAAGTTCTCTCTAGTCGCCGGTTTTTCTTTGCGTGTTGTCACTCTAGTGCTCCAGTGTTACTATAGGTCGTGGTCGGAGGTGCCAGAAATTGATTTCTAAGTATCACTTTTAGCTTATTGTGCTTATCTTGTTTAATCACAATGTCCGCATGCACAAAAAAGACTATAAAGTGAAAATCCAACAAATCAAGCTTGTCACGTGATAGCACCCATTACGCGTTCGCGAGTGTCGTCTGTAGAATCGTTGAAATCGAATAACCGAGTGCACCTTCCATACTCCGTGAATCACCTGTTTTGATTTTGGTGTCATTTCGATTCGCGCGCCTACACTACCGCTACATCGCCTCACAAATGTCATGCACGGGTTGTAGTACCAAGTTCGGGCTCCTCACGAGAGAGGTAAAGGCCGTTATTTTCTCATCTCTTTTTTAGAAGAGTACCGACAACTCGTGGGGTCGCCAAGTTCGCTTCGGGCCCACGCCCGTGTGTCCGTTACTTTGATGTGTTTATGTTTTGGAGATCGTAATCATGCACGTATTTCCAAAGGCGTAGATCCACACTGGCCCGACTGTACTGCTTTGAAAAAACCTCCGTGTCGCCGTGTTTTAGTGTTCCTAAACAACCACTCTGCAAACGCGTGCATGCAGTACGTCGTTTAAAACTGCACCGTTCTATATCCACCGCTGTCTATATGCTAAGCTTATTGCATGTCTTGATTTTGTTATTGTGGTTGGTACTAATGGTCGCAGCGGATTTTCGACACGGTATATGCGACATCTAGCCGATGTCGCCGATAACGGCATTACAAAGTTTCTAGGACTTCGACTAGATCGTATCTGACGTACTTTGTGCTGAAACGGCATAGGAGTGATCAAAATAGCTTGGGCACAGCCCGCAAATTTCTAGCATACCTTCTGAACTTGAACTGTGTATGAGCTGCATATCCGTTGAACCGTTATGGCAAGCTCGAACACAATTGAAATATGCTTCTAAATGAGGTTTGGCTCCAACTGTGTGTAGTATGTTTGTATACTTGAGTGAAGGATCAAAGCAACCTTTATGCAGTGTGTAGTATACTGGCCAAGGAGCATTAGAACGGTTTGAGAAAGAACATCTCATATCGTGAAACTATCAAATGTGCTGGGATGTACCCATAAGTATGGTGGCTCCTCTTGCTCTTGCCTGCAAAAGAAGACCTCGGTTCATCCAAATTAACTCCGACTTGCAGTTAGTTTTGAAATGCACAAAACAAAACTTCATTCCAAAAGCCCTTGGCAGTCAGGTTTACTGTGATCCATATGTAATCCCTTGTCTGGCATACCCATATTCTCCAACTAACGTAGCCCGCTGACCATCTGGCCAACATGAAGTCTATCTAATGATATCAAGCTACGATTGAATGTCTCTCAGGTTTATTAGTAATAGTGGTTTTCTAGTTGCTATCAAGGCTTGCGTAACAGTCTTCAAACCTAGTGTTAACTTTGATCGGCGGAGGTCAAAACGATGAGCACTTCTGTAGTGACACTCATTGACCTTTAGTTAGTATTTTGTGACACATAATTGTTGGCGTCATTGAAGATGACGTGCTTGTACGTTCTTGACTGGCACGCCGAAGGAAGATTGTATCCACACTGTTCCAGCATGCAATGTTGCAATGTCCGGCAGTATACCAGAATTACCTAAATAAACAAACTAAACTGCAAGTTTCGCCCGATAATGTTGCAACCCTCAATTCCTAACCACGTGGCATTTTTGTTTTTAAATAAAGGTTGCAAGGCTTTGCGATACTTCCCGCAATTTCCAAATGATAACACGGAAGTTGAAATCTCGGGAACAACCCCCAAGCTGAAGAAGCTGTGATTTTTTTGTGTGTGCTGTAGAGTTCTTTGCATTGCCTGTAATCAATTTTACCTTGGCAGACGGTGAAAGCTACGGTCCCAGTGAGCCAGTCGGAGCGTCAGAGCAAAGCACGTCGCAACATGTTGCAGAGAGCCGTCACATGTTTCACATTGTTCCATAGTGTTGCGTTCCTTGCCAAGTTACGCTGGAGCGAAGTACGGCATCGAGCAATGGCCACGGCCGGTCCCGCTCATTCCCAGCAAAGCGAGCCTCGATCCGTGATCTAGCCTGCCTATAATACTCGACATCAGCAGCTGTTTCACTTTCCGTGCTTTCTCGGCATTAATGCATATCAGGACTTGAACAGTTCACTAGAACGTGCTGGGGAATGCGCTGCCGTCTGTCTGATCCTCCCGTTTTGCCGTGCCACCACAGCATTCCTGTCCAAATTGCCAGTTCTCCCACTGTGCAAGGTGCCTCAACTCTGCCATTCTGGTCCCAAGGCTGCACAAGGAGAAGAAAGTCTGCAGGAAGTGCTTCGAGGCCCTCAGCAAGTAATTGAATTCTCTCGTTTTTTTCGCCACAAACATTACTTTTTATCAGGAATGCATGTTCCGTTGGGCCTAATGTAGTGTGCCCAAGTTACAGAGTGCTTCCAACTTCTCGATTTGGATCGCATAATGTATGGGCCTGCATTTGCGATGCAAGCTGCGAGGAGGAATCAATAGTGTTGGTCATCTGTAAGCTTCTCTGCCTCTGTGCCCTCTTTCCTCTTCACCCCGCAACGGGACGCATGTACAGTTGTGACCGATCTGTGCAAGAGGCGTCGGGCATTAAATTGCAAATGCTCTTCATGATTTGAGTTGCTCCCTCTCTTAAATCTAGGCTCTCCAGCTTATATAAGATAGCTAGGCATACAATCAAAAAGGATGAATACAGGTGACCTATGCCTCTCGGCCAGAAACTGTGTTTATTTTGGACACAGAAATTCAGCACAGTGACCCCGTACAGAAAGTGCACAGGACACCAGGCCGATTGGAAAGAAGGAAAAACTATGCTTCCAGAACTCATCTGAAGTCTGCCCTTGTTTGGGCTCCCTCAGCTCTATCCCAAATCCTCAATGATGGAACACTAAGGAAAAATCTGGCTTCAAAAATCCAGAGTTTGCATGGGGTCATGCCTTGCATCCATTCTTTAAGGGGTACTGCTACAGAATTTTAGCACTTATCTTATTTTCTAAATATCAACCACATTCAGGCCACATCACAGATACATCAATCTTTTGTTTGAAAAAAAAAGATGTAATTTAAAATGAATAAACCGTTTACCAGATTTGCACTTGGTGGATGTTCCCCGAATGTTGTTACGTCAAACTTCCCCTAAAAGCAGCGCCGCTCTGCGGAAGTACGGTGGCAAGTTGCATGCGCACGAGCCCTGTCAAACTTGGCTGAACCGATTCTCCTTTCTCTTGCACCTGTTCAATTCCTGCGGGGAAAGGGGCAGCAGGTACGAAATCACAGAAACAGGTGTTTTCCGTGCACAACACGACGAGCAATACAAAAAGTAGCTTTGTGAAGCAGTCGCGAATCACGGGTCTTCTTTTGTCCTTGCCGTTGCTGCCTTTTCGGATGCAATAGATGGAACTGGGTCAGATGTGTGAATCGGCCTTCAATTTCTATCCAATACAGAGTTGGTGGACACAGACCTGACGAGTCTCAGGAGCCCCCAGCGGCACTGCAGAAGTAAGACGTCCTTCTCATCAATAAAATGCTTCCTTTCGATCTACTCGGTGCTTTGGGGCAGCCGAAATCAGTTGCCGACAACATCTTTTCATTTTCTCTCATATCGATGCAGTGGTTTTCATGGAGAATTGTTACGCAAACTAACGTACAGTGTTCGTCAGTGGCGTGCATGGTGTGTCACATAACTTGACGTCAAATTTAATTCTTTCAATTTTTATGTTTTTGGTTTTAGAAACTAATTATACACCCTTACACTAAATTTTATAGCCATGCGCCAAATAGTTATGTTGATATAAAATATTTTCAACACATTGTGAGGCAGTAACAAAGTAAAGGAGTTCAATGTTTGAACACATTTTTCTCAGTTCCACTTTTTGCTGCAAATTTCATACAAAGGAATCTTTTGATCGAAGTTAAAATTATTCTGATATCACAATCAAGATGTTTCTAGACTGAAATTTACTGGAGAATTGGGCTATCTACTTTATTTTGTTTTAAGTTAAAAACCTCATTGAGAAAAAACAATGTCTTTAAAAATTCACATAGGACAGATGTGCATCTTATATTTTGAGGTAATCACTGTTCCTGAAATATTTATACTTGAGTTATAAAAACGAGATAGCCCGAAGTCCCACATTCCAAACTTTATATGCAAGCAGTTAAAATGGTGCTTAATAGGTTCATTTGCATATCATAGATTTCATAACGAAGAGTAACACATCTTCTTATGCAGTTATGTAAAGTTGTGCTAGAGAGCTGAAAGTTTGCACAGTGCACCTACATCTGAAGTTAAGTATCCCCTGCAAATTTCATTCCGATCACTTGAGTAGTTCAGAAGTTCAACCTCTAGCCCGTGTCCCCCCTTAAGTCAATTCGCAATGCCAAGTGTTTGTGTTTCATTACAGCACGGTATCAACAGTGTTATTGGATCTAGTAATGTTGGGTGTCAAGTCGTCTAATGTGGCGTCATGCTACATGATCACATCGTGCGACATAACGACACATTACGCTGCACCACGTGACATTGTGGTACCACGTCATGATACCGCGTGACATTGCATGACCACGTCTTGTGATGTCGGGTCACTTGACGCCGCACGATTAATCGGAGTGCATCAATAAAACAAACATCGTAAAAACCCGCCGTTTCTCTCGCATTGCTATTCTGCATTTGACAGTTTGATCAACAGATATAAACACAGCTGCCCACATACCTTACATGAGAATTGAAACCCAACTTGCCAGCTGAATGCCCTACTATACAACCGGCACACCCGTTTACCTGCGCTGCTTCATGGCGAGCACATTAAGGAATTGTCGGATCGCTCATTTTGTTGCCTTTTCGTCCCTTTCCGAAAGGCGTCTGGACGCCCTGATGCACAAGCCGAACAACGGCGGGTCTGCGGCACCCAAGTCGGGGCCGGAGGTGGAGGAGATCGAGCACAGGCTACGCAAGCTTCGGCAGGACAGTAGAGGTGATGTACCGCTCTTCTATTGCACGGCTACACATCATCGCTTCCACACTTTCTATCTCGAGAGTTCTGTGCTGCGGCATTGACGAGAAGTGGACCTGTGTTTTTAGAAAGGGCTGTCCTCGCACAAGTCCCCATGTGCAGAGTGTGACACGATTAGTCTGAACAAGCGTTGCTGTCTTTCTCTTCCAATTGAACAACTAGCAAAATTCTGCTATGGTCGCTGATGGGACGAGAACGGCGCGTCCTCCCGGCAACTGGTTTCCAGCAAGCGCTCGTTGCCTTCCGCCGTGCTTTGGTTGCGCGTGCATGCTCAAAGATCCCAAAAAGTCAAAGTGTTATTGAAGGTACAAAGCTCGTGCTGGAGGAGGAGTGAGAACTGAAGGACCCCAATGTGATTCTTGTCCTACCAGTGACCAGGGGACGCTTTCGTGCAACGTCGATCTGTTGTTGTCGTTGAGACATTCTTCGTTTCTCCACATGCCTGGCTTCCAATATCAGTAGGATGAAACGTAAGCTTCTTTGCACTACACATTTGAGGGTGTCGTGCGAACCCTTGGAACACTAGCCTTTTAGCACACGCCAGACAGCTCTCAACGACGAAACGGTAGACGAAATTACACTCATGAAAACACCCCATACCATGAAGTCCTGCATGAATTCCTGGCCACGTCCTGTTTTTGGGGGGCTAAATATCCATAACATAAAAATTTAGAAACGTCATTCAGCCCCGATCCTCGTCAGATGTTGATCACGCGACGTCCGACGGGAGTCACATCGACCATGCGATGCAGTATCGGTACGTTTGACAATTCTGTTCGCCGCTTTCCCTCGTGTTGGTTGCCATCAACGGTGTCCATCCCCATGACGTGCAGATATGCAAATTCGCAGTTCATATCCCCTTTATTCTTTTTTTGTTCTTCTTTTGTTAGAGCTCGTAGCGGTTTCCTGTCTTTATTGCACCGTGAAACCCAAACCTGCTGCTTCCGCAATGTGCAGTGTCTGTTCCCGTGACGTGCAAGTTCGTAGCGGGTTTTTGCACTTTTGTATGCTATCGTATTATTATTATTATTATCATCTGCGTGTGCAATATCAGTTCCCGTGAGTTTGCAGCGGGTTCTCGCTTGTTTATCGCACCGTGAAGCACGAATGTGCTGTGTCACGTTATGCGGTATCCTGTCCCGTGACAAGGGAGTTCGCACGGAATTCCCGTTTATACTTATTGCTGCCGCCGCATTCCAACACGTTGCTTTCCCAATATTTTTCCCCATTTATCTCTTAATTTTAGGTGGGCCTTCTTTTGGGGACTTTACAGTAGTGTAGCAGGAAGTCCTCATTCGAGCACCGACCTAAGCAGTAGAGCCTGGTGCCCGTGGATACCTTGTCTGAGCGAAGTGCAAAAAAAAGAAACAGGTCGTGTTTGCATTATGGGTGGCACGCAGTGCACGCAAAACGTGTTGTGGAGCTGTGCTTTTGTGCCTACGCCTTTGATTGCACTGCTCACTCTGTACAAGTCTCACACATGTGTGTCAGAAACGTTTCATACCAAACAACCTAAACTACCACCTCTGCGCAGATCTACGAATTTAATTTAAATTAACCAAATGCTAGTCAAATATTAATACAGTATAGACCACTTACAACATAATCGCTTATAGTGCAGGACCGGGTATAACGCGGCTTTTTTAAACCACCGGTTCGCCTCCCATAGAACTCCATGTAATTACATAACCGCTTAAAATGCAGGCGCGCGAAGGGAAATACCGGTTATAGTGCGGTTTCTAGAGCAGCGCACCGACCGTGCCGACCGACTGGTGCAGTGAGCACGCTTCCCTGTGCGACACTAGTTAACGGCGCTAGCCACAAGCGGCACCCGCGGGGCAAGGAAGGCAAGGAGGTTGCTTGAAGAAGCAAAGAGAGAGGCTTCAGTCGCCATAGCGACGGAGGGACGCACGCACGTGTCGTTCACGGCATGGGGCATTGGAGCAAGCCCAACCAGCCGTTCGCGCGCATTGCATGCTGGTCGTGGGCCGGCTTCTTCTATCCGCAAACATGGCGTCGGTGGTAATTGTCGACGTTGACGGCGTACATAGTGGAAGCTCATCGTTCCGCGTAAAAGCACTATCCTTGACTGTGAATTTTCGTTGTGTGTCGCTGTGATAACCCAGCACGTACTAGAAGGGAAGATCGACCTACTCATGCGGCACTCTCAAGACAGCAGAAACGCCCGTGTCGTCGTGTTTGTTTACTTCGACTAGAGTGGTGTTTTCTAAGCATTTGTGTTTTCGAACATCGCCCGGATTTCTTATTTAGAGCATTTCATGCCTTTTTTGGAGCATTTCATGTGCGTACCGTATAAAGGATGCGAATTTTCACGCTTTTTCATCACCGGAGAAAAGTGACTAGAGTTAGCAATCCTGAACGCTCGCAACGTCCGCAACCCGCGACGCCGTTAAGAGGCTGTGCCTGGCAAAAGTCGCTCATTTCTTTCAAAATGTGTGACACACTTGAGAGAGAAGTGTACTAGTCTGGGGAAATAAAGACTTTCCTCAAACTTAGCTTTATTTTTCATCTAATATAAAATAAATTGTTTTACGAAGGTAAGTTTTCTCATGGCATGTATTTTGGCCTGAAAAATGGATGTTTTGGTTATAGCGCGGTACCGCTTATAGTGCGGATTTTCGCGACTCCCGCGACATACGTTATATGCGGTCTACACTGTATGTACCATTAACCTCCCCTGGTTCTGTCTGCTCTCATATTCCTCTTACGTTGGAATTTCTTTTCGCATGTATTTCACTCGTGTACGCCCCCTCCCGCCTTGGCAGCTGAATGGCAGCTGACAGCATATGTACATAAAGAAGTTAAATAAAAATGTTGTAGAGTATTTGCCCACGTTGAACGTGGCTTGGGGGGTCACAAACGACGTTTGCGCGTCTTTTCAGAGGTCATACCAATCCATGCCGACATTGAGGACAGACTGGCGAAACTGAAAGGGGTCGACGTCTCCTACTATCGGCAGGCCCCCATTACGGTGAGTGCAGTAGCCCATTCGCACTTCATAAATAGACTCCGCCGACTTCAGCACATCAAGTCATTTTGTTTGTCCAATTTGTAGGATTCACCATGGTAAACTTAAGTGCATGTTTTCCTTCTTGTGTATTGTGTAAACCAAAAAATTTATTATGTGGTGTGTCTCAAAAAAAAAATTTACTAGTTTTTTTGCTGTCTGCAATAAGGAACTATGCATTGCCAAAAGCTCATTCTCTGCCTAAATGTAGTGCTAGCGGATAACCAAGATAACCAACCGTTATCTTGGTCAAAACTTATACCGTAAGATACCGGGGGAGGGTCCACCCCACTTTAACTGAAAACTGGGTTAACCTAGGTATGGGCATTTGTCCTGTGAAATCGGGCACTTAACATACAATTTGCAAAATTCCCAAGTCTGACAAATGTTAATGGTGGGTGCTCGGACGAAGTGGGCGCTTCTGCAATAATTTACATAAATTGATTTTTTTTTTTAAATTTCGATGGAAAAATGGGGCTTTTTTTGGCCTGCATTCGGTGACTGGCGCCATTCAGCTCTATATATTCGGGATACCTGTCAAGCGTCATTTTCCCGTGAAAATTTTGAGGAAATCATAAATTTTGAATAAAATAACAATTAGTTTGGAAACTTCAGCATCTGGATTGGCGCGCTAGTGCTGCATTTGGGCGGAAAATCATCGTTCGGCGATGCACAGTTCACTTTTGCGGTGAAAAAAAACTCTGCAAATAAACTTCATCGAAAAAGGAAAAAAACACAAAAATATTGCTGTATTTACGTTGTGAGAGTTGTCTTGAGTGATGAGTGGTTCTGGAACGTGCTATTTCGGCATTGCGTTGGGAAATGGAAGTTTGTGGTAATGCTCAAAATCAGTCTCATGCCGAAAATGTTGCACCCAGAAATATTTTAGGGAGGGGGGGGGGGATTCTTTTGTGACATGTGTAGACAGTTTAAAGGGCTACAGGAATGAAATGTTTGCTCTAATTTTTTTAGTTCTATATGGTCTATGTTGTGGAGGCAACCCCAGAAACACTAGTCTGGACTATTCTTTCTGGGCTGCCGGCAGAAAATTTTAGACAACTAATTTTAAAACGAATCAACAGATTTCAACTATTCTTTGTTGGACTGCCGCCACGTCATCAGCCTCTTAGAAGCAGTGCCATTTCGTGGCAGTATGGCTCTCTCGTAAAGTTACTTACCATAGAATACTGCTCATCTGCCCATTCCACATTAAGCGCCCATTAACAAATTTGTAAGATCTGAGAAAATACGCACAGTTCATTTATATGTAAAATTGATGACCGGACAAGCGCCCATCCCCCATTTTTTTTGCGATGATCTCCAAAGTTTGAGTAGGCGCTTGCCGGTATTTTACAATAGTCCTGAATCTGACTTGGTGGAGAACGCCAACGGGTCTACAACATTCTATGTGTTAACTTTCACAGTGCTTTCGCAACGTGCATTCCACACCATCAAGATCGCCATTTTTTTGCAAATGTTAGGTAGGAGCTTGATCTGAGGATGTGAGGACCTTTACCAGGCCAACCATACCACTCCCCACTCTCTCCCTCAGATGCGCTCTGAATAACACGCTCAAATATGGCACCCAGTGGATTCCCTATATACATAACTTACAGGTGTCGCCATTGTTGGGTACTGACGGTTATTTGTACTTACTGGTTCCCTTGAGCTCCAACTTCTGCGGTGTGAAACTAACGCGGTGAACCAAACGCTTGTGGCACATAGAATACCAGCATGGCCGCAAATGACATTGCAGATGTGCTTTGTATAGGCCGTAGGACGTACAGTCCTCGGATATTGCTACTAGGAGAGATTGCCATGCGGTGACGCCACCAAGCGCCAACGCTCGCAACTACAATAACGTTGGCCATACAGGAACTCTTGACGTCACAAGCGCGATACGCGTTGCGCTTTTCACTGGCCGATATTGAAGTGAGAAGTGAGCTCACGGCCACCTTATTTCGTGTCCGTACCCATTTAACATCCTTTTTGGGGAGTTCGGTGTTTTTTCAAGAGGGGCTTTCTTTAAAAGCGTCTTTCTCGCGAACTCAGGTGTACAAGGACAACCGTACAGATGCCGAGAAGGCAAGCGACCTCTTCAAGCAGACCATGGGACTGGTGGCCATGGACATCCGTCGGACCAACGTGATCAAGGCCAGTGTGGATGAGATGGAGAACCGCCTGGCACGGTTGCGCAGCACCGAGAAGGACCCTCCCGGAGAGGATGAGGCAGAACCGCCGGTGAGCAGTGCACTCTGCTCTCGTTGGGCGTTTTTTTAACCCCTTAAGTGCCTCTTTTTTTTTGGAAAGTAACCTAAAAGTGCCATATTTTTTTATTTAAAAGTTTTATTCCTCTAGTAATATAGATAAAATTTCAAAAGTTTATTAAACAGAAATTAGCGGCGGCGAAAAAAAAAAAGCGCCAACTAAAACGAGTGCTGCTATCTATGATCAGCGCCGCAAACTACTCGGACGAGCCTAGCTCATCCGTGGAATTGAGGACTACCGAAAAAACCACTGAACGAGCTGGGCTCGTCCATGGCATTTTTAGCCAAAAAGCGGCCGACGAACTCAGCTCGTCCTAGGCGCTTAAAGGGTTAAGTAACCAGTGCCGTCTGGGGCAGGCGCATGGTGCCCGTAACGTGTCTCCGACCGGTGCTTTTAGTGTCCCGTTCTGCCCACGCATCGAAGCTGTCTCAAAGTGACAACGAATGACGTCGCGAAAGCCCGAATGTCTCGCCGTAGATTGTCCGATCCTGGCAGTCGGTCGTAGAAGTTCCGGCAAGGAGGGCGAGCAAACGTGAGTGTCGCCGACATCGCGGCGTCCCAACCCTCCGGCTGCCGGCCGAAGCTTCCGTGGACTGTCAAGCCAGAAAACAACCCGCAGCAGGACTGAGCGTCCGTGACATCCACCACCGCCACTCCGACACGGCCAGGATTGCGACTGGCGACGCCGTGACACTCCCACGACGTCGCCGCGCTCAAGCTGCAAAGATAGTTTACTCGGAGGCAGGGAATGGTCCAGGGAATTTCTGGGCCTGGGGATACCACGAGGGTACTCTGGGGAACCCGGGTATCTAAGAACCCTGTTTGAGAACTTACGGTCCTGGGAATCGTCTGCTAACTACGAAATGAAGAAGGGCGGCCCGACGTGCCTCCGCCCGTCGGAACATGTCTGCGTCGTGCCGTCGTGTCTGTTTCCGTTGCTTTTTACACCCCACGCTACCGATGCTCAGAAAAGAATCGTCGAAAGAAACGGGACACACGCAAAAATGGGTGCCGACCGATGACGGCGACGGCGGAAAGCAAGGCCATGGGAGAAGGTGTGCACATGTGCCGAATCTTGCCGAAAAATAGGTCCGTCATAATCTTTATTAACCGGTCATAAAGGACTCGTGTCTGGTTTGCAGTTCTGCGTCGGACCGTGACCGCTTGCAACGAGAGACCACACTGGCGCCATCCATCGAATAGCCCCTGAGCACTTCCAGTCTCTGTTTATTCCTTAATTCTTTACCCGTTAACTTGTCGCAGGCTCGAAATAGTTTTTGAACACGTAGTAAGCTATCATTTCTTGTGAATTGCGCACAGATTCAATCTCGCAAATGCTGCAAAACCTCGTCTAGTTCTACGCAGTTCTGGGACTATTTGACAGATGGTGCCAGTGTGTTTTGCTGACCTGTGGTGTGTTTGCACATTGATAAACGCACTCAATCACGGTGAAATGCACAATTGGGGACCAGCCTTTAAAATGTGTGTACCATAAAATCCGTTAAGAACGCCCGCCCATGTTGAAGAAATACTCTAAGTGACATAAGAGGATACCTCAGTAGAATTTCATCTCCGATAGGAACTTTTCCAGAATCCAGATGGCACTGGGGAGGAAGCCTTTCCACCCATTTGTTTATGCGATATAATGCTGCTTCCAAATAAAAATAAACAAAAAAATTTGTCTTTTTGTTCCGGTTATCAGCAGACGGCTTGACCCTAAAAGCCCCTACCCTTCCAACTTCCCCACCCCGTCCTGCCGCCGTGCGAGCTGCGAAAACGGCTGTTTTTTTGTTATGTAGTTCAAAAAAGAGGATATCGAAGAGGGGTGTGGGTTTCCAAAGCCATCGCAAAGTGGGCACTTTCTGCCATTCCTACAGGGATAAAACAAAACAAAGAACGCCTCCAACGCTCGGTTCTTCGGCTATTCCGTGTTCCGAGATTTTTCGTACGATTCGATTTCTAAGTAGTATGTAGATTGTTGATATTGTCATTACAAAAACTAAATATGCCATATATTTCTTTCATGGCGTTTAGTCATAATGTTGCGAAATAATCTACCACAAGTCGGTATTGCATTGCGTCCCTCAGAGCTAGCATTTCATTCCCTCGAAGCAGTGCTTTGAAAAATAAAGCTACTCACTCAAAAAAGTGTCTCATCTCCTTGTGCGAAAAAAAAAAAAAGAAACAAAATTACCAGTTTGTGATATAATCAGCGGCCATTTGAGTCCCAGCTTTTTTTTCGCAGAGCACCAGATTTCGTTTTATTTCAAAGGTCACCCTGACTTCTAAATAGGCGTGCGATTTCTAAATTGCACGGAAGCAGAACTCTATGTTGCACTGTCGAAATGCCTAAGAAATGAATTACCAGAAGTTTAGATAGTGTTGCATCCTATATACATATTGATCAAACCGTAGTTCAAATGTAACAAAGCTATTAAAAAAAAGAAAAGATTCTAACAATATTTTTTATAATGACGTGTTCCGATTAATCACTTCACAAAACTGAATTGCCACTAAGGCCCCCACCATCTTTTACAGAGCGCCGCATTTGTTGTTTTGTTTTGTTCGGCCGGACGAGACGCCGCTACCTCAAATCACTCAAATAAGTAAACGCTGTGGCACCAAGTAACATAGTCAAGGGGCACTGGGCACTTTTTGGGTCATGTGACTATCTTTTTTACGAGATCATAGGTTAAGAACTTTTTTTTTTTCGAAATGAGCCAATTCTATGTTAAGCGAAACTGAGATGAAGTGGAATGTTTGAGTATTAGTAAAGCTATGATCATGTACCGTGGTCACCTTTGGATTGTTTTTGTCTCGCATAATGTGACCGATTTCAGTTTAAAAACATTAGACAGATGCACCGACAGATATAGTCCACATTTAGGCAAAAATTAGCTGAGTTTCGGTTTCTGGTTTGTTTCGGGCCGGCTCCCTCTTTGCGCTGGGGATAACGTTACTCGCAAAGATAATTAGAGGTGGTCCACAGGCTTCTGGCTGAAGTAGGCGTCGTTGTATGTCGTTCCAAGGTGTCTAGACCTTCTTTGTGTTTTGTCGGTTTGTCTATAGGAGAAAAAAAAGGGGGAAGGGGGACTAAATCTGTGCCTGAGTTATCGTCGAGCAAAGCAGTAATCAAAAAAACAACCCCGAAATAAAAAAAATAAGAAAGGGAAATGTGTAGGGTTCCAGGACATTTCATCGAACGCCGTTTCATCAAAAAAGTGGTTGTCCCGTACCGAAACGTCCAATTACAACAATTGGCCGGTGTTTTTAAACAAAAAATCCTAATGACATTAAAAAAAAAAAAAAAAATCGGGGTTGGGGGTGGAATCTTGAATCCATTCGCTTGGTTACAACTCCAGGCGTGTTCTCCGTCGTGCCGTCTAAGTGTCTGTCACCCGAGAGGACAATGAGAAATGACTTCATAGTTTGCAAGATTCAATAATTTTAAAGAAAGTATAAATTTTCAAATTTTATTGGCAGAAACTTATGACGTATTCAATGAAACAGCGTTTGATGAAATGACTGGTCCCAGGTGCGGTTGACCTTCTAGTGCGCAACAGAACCTTAGGTGCTTCGCTTTGTGAAAATATGATGACTGAAATCCGGCATCGTCTTTCAGGCACTTGCAATCTTTTTGCGGTTCTGATATAAAAAAAAGGTGCAGTTCGATGCCAAAGTCACGAATCTCGGAAAAGAGCTAATAGGAGAAAATGTCACCGGCTTCTTGATGAATGCAATGGACACTCACCTACGATTTTCGCTTTCGGAAATGTAGTGATGTGATTGCTGCGCCAATTGCGCCAAACTGCGCCAAGGGGCTAACCCTGCTACATCCTGCTACATTTCGCTGAAATATGGGTAATCTGCGCCAAGCCTGCACCAAAGGACCAATTTCGGTCGCCTTTCAAAACCGAAACTAAACTGAGTACCGTAATTGAGCATGCGTGAGCTAGGTGGCGCAAGCGACTGCCCGACAAAAAGTATGCTGCATTAATCGTCCATCTGGTCTCGCATGGTTTTTCCCGCCGTTCCTCATTTCGCACTTTTGTGGGTCTCGTCTCGCATCCTCTTGAAAATATTTTAACGATAGATGCAAGCGTATATGGACGATCTAACGCTAGCTTGCCGGGTACCAGCCATGCCGTCATGTTGTAAAACGAAACCACGTTTTCGCGCATTGGGAGTTACTTGTGATCTGAAGCGCTCGCTTCTGAAAGAAACGGCCGAGGCAAAACTATTTTTGGTCCCTGCCTACCAGTCACCGTGGTTATGACGTCGGGTGTTCCCGTCCACACATTGCTGCAGATATGGCGCTTTCTAAAATGAAACGTAAGGACTGCTACAGGGTAATCAGCAATCCTATCCTTGTTTAAATTAAACGCTACTACAAAAAACCCTCTAGCTCAAAGACTGTTGTGTCGAAGTACTGTTTACCTAGGTTTCTCTCGGTCGGATTTCTTTTGAGAGGGACCCCGGTACATGAAAAGTCTGTCGCAAAAGAAAGTTTAAGACAAGTTAGCTAAAGCAATAAAAGGCAATGCCTGCACGCTGAACTCGCACAGCGCGCTTGTTTATCTTGAGTTCAATTGTTGCACAAAGCGCTCCAAGAACTTTTTGACCCTGACTCGCGATGTCTTGCATTGATGCGCTCAGGTTCTTTTTTTTTTTATTAGCTTTATTGTCCTTGTTTTGTTTGCGCTTTTTAACCTTTTAATTTAGCTTATGCCTCGCGTACTGGCCTGGCAAGCACGCGCCGCTGGACTGTTTTTCTTTTTTATGCTGGATTGTTACATTTTGCATACAATTTTGGGGACCAGATGGTGACAGAGCGGAGTGGCAGAGTTTCGGTTTCGATCGAACAGCCGTCTCCGCTCGCATAATGAAGCACGTGCAACTGCAAGCTGCCAAAGTTGCCCTCACGTGCATGCGAACATGATTGCACGACAGAGGTACCAGCCGGGACGCTTGCA